TTTCGTCCACCTCCTTCCAAGGGGGTTCTGGAACCTTCCACTCAACTATTAGTTAATTGCAAACTAGTCACTGCACTTTATAATTAATTCTTTTAACCCCAAAATTAATTCTGATTAATTTCTGGCTAACTATTAATTAAACATAATGATTTCTAATTAATATATTAATCTTTTAACATATTAATAAATCATTTATATTAATTCATTAATTTTATAAATTAATATCTCTCCTTTCATAATTTCCTAGTCCAGTTGCTAGGTTGAGGGCAACCCAAAAGGACTGTGCTGCTATCAATTCAAGTACATACCAATTATAGTTATGGGCTTAGACATCTAATCCAACACATTCGTCCTCCCCAAACCCTAGCTCTCCCTTTGTGTGTTTAAGCTTATTTGGTGTGTTCTTGAGTTCTTCAAGAGGAAGGTTTTGCATCAAAGTGTTGGAGAAGAAGATCAAGATTGTAGATCTGAAGTTAACTTGTGCTCAAGAAGCTCCAGAAGGTATAAAGTTCCAAACTTTATGCATATATGCTGAATTTTTTGCAACCCAGACATAGGGTAGAAATATCAGTTCAGAAAGTATTCACACGATCCAAGTGGTATCCAGATCTCCAACGTAAACCCTATTTCATCCGTCGATACGCTGAGCAAGATAATACATACATCCGTCGATACGCTGACATTGCCCTCAGTTAGAAACTGGAACTCGAAAAACCCCCGTATACGTACTCATTTCGGAACGTTTATGAAAAGTATCGTACACACAAATATATTAAACACACAAATGTACTGCATATTTGGAAGAAAAACATACAAAAAACCTAATTCTAACTCTGCGAAACACCACTCCGGAATGTACGGTCGTTCCGGACTTCAGTCCGGAATACATTTTTTTAGTCTGCAAGGTATGGAGTGTCAGATTCCGGACATCATCCCCACCAACCGACATCCACTCCGGAACAAAATCATAAATAGTCTGGAATATCGTATTCCGGATCACACCTCCGAAACAAAACTCCGTGCTCTGGAATATGATATTCTGGGTCATGTGGTTATTTTTCTAATAAAAAAATTATTTATTTTTGTTAAAATGATTATTTATAAGGGTTAGATTAATGATTTCTTTAATTTGCCTGCTAAAAAAAATTACGTCACGTTTATGTTGAGCGAACAAATCCATATGATCTGAAAACCTAAAGTGATCGTATATTGGGCAAAGGTTCGTCTTCTTACAACGGTCAAAATCACTCTACTAAAGAAACCAACTTCGTGACTGTCATCTTCCAATGGATAATAGCAGTACTAACAATCGCCGATATCCTCCCGGTATTGGCAACGGTCGTGGAAGTGGCGGAGTGTACGACGGTGGTGGTGGTGGCAGTTACCATCCAAACCCTAATTACTACCATCAACCTCGAAACCCTACTCATCAAAATCAATGTCAGCAGCAGCGGCCGCAACCACAGTACACGCAGAGGCAGCAGTCCGGACAACAAAACAACACGCAGCAACAGTGGCTAAGACGGAACCCTAATGCTAATGCTCCTGGTTCTTCAGCTGCTAATGTTAATAACGAAGTTGAAAAATCCGTATATTCAGATGTCAGTGTTGATTCAAGGTAAATTCTGTATTCTAATTTATGATTTTGGTTTCTTGAATCTTCAAGTGCTTTATTTTTTGTTCTAATGACGTCACGTTACTAGCTTAGTGTAAGCGTTTCGTATCTGTTATTCATAAATGGTTTTCGAGTTCTGGAGACGATTAATGCAGCCTTTCTTAATGTCGTCATACATGTAGTAATTTTGGGATCATATCGATGATCAATTACCTTTTGATATGAAAATCAAATTTCGAGTTTGAAGCCATATGCCCCTTACTGTAACGCCTATTGACCATTTTATAACTCAATCAGATAACGAATTCATATAATGTAAGCGTGTAAAAGAGAATATAAACTCATTTATGTATGTACGTACTCTTTGAGTGATAAAATTGTACATGCCTGTATTCTTTGAGACCGTGTAGTACTGAAATCAGAGAATGATGAACTTATCTTTGTGCATTTTGCTGGTTTAGCTCTCAAGAATGGAAGGCACAATTGAACATACCTGTAGCAGATACCCGTTACAGGACTGAGGTACATATGGTGTAAAACACATTTTTTTTTTAATTTTCTGTGATGCATTTGCATACCTCATATACCTTGTATTGTCTCATTTTCTTTTAAGAATTGTTTATGCAGTAATAACTGGTAGAGAGTTCACTAGCCTAATTCCTCTATGCCAAATATATTACAGGATGTGACTGCTACAAAAGGCAATGAATTTGAGGACTATTTTCTGAAAAGGGAGCTACTTATGGGAATTTATGAAAAGGGTTTTGAAAGGCCATCACCTATACAGGAAGAAAGCATCCCTATTGCATTGACTGGAAGTGATATTCTTGCAAGAGCAAAAAATGGAACTGGAAAGACAGCAGCCTTCTGCATCCCAGCTCTTGAAAAGATCGATACAGATAAGAATAATATTCAAGGTTACATTTATTTCTACAACCTTGTTCTGCTATACATTTTAGTAATATGATATTAACAGTTGTTTTTTTTTTTAAAAAAAAATACAGTTGTCATATTAGTTCCAACAAGAGAGTTGGCACTTCAAACATCCCAAGTTTGCAAGGAACTTGGAAAACATTTAGAAATTCAAGTGATGGTGACTACTGGAGGAACAAGTTTGAAAGATGATATTATGCGATTATATCAACCTGTCCATTTGCTGGTTGGCACTCCTGGAAGAATTCTTGATCTTACCAAGAAGGGAATATGCAATTTGACTGAATGTGCAATGCTAGTCATGGATGAGGTATTTAAATTTTAAACTAAAGTGTCATTACTTTGTAAATATTTTTCACAGGTGGTCTTATATAAATATGATATTGTGAGTGATGGTTTTAAGATTTGAGTTATGATATGGATGCAGGCTGATAAACTGTTGTCCCCAGAGTTTCAACCTTCAGTGGAACAGCTGATTGGATGTCTTCCTGAACAGCGACAAATTTTGATGTTTTCAGCCACATTTCCAGTTACAGTGAAAGATTTCAGAGATAGATACTTGAAAAACCCTTATGTGGTTAACTTAATGGATGAGCTTACTCTTAAAGGTATCACACAGTTTTATGCTTTTGTAGAAGAACGACAGAAGGTCCACTGCCTGAATACACTTTTTTCCAAGGTTAGGTCAGAACTGGAATATCTTTCGTTGCTAGATACTGTATTTATTTTCAAGGAATAAAATAGCAACATACTTGTACTGATTAGTTTATTATAGCATCATGATATGAAATACAAACAAATGAAAGTGTGTTGCTATTTCTTGTATTTAGCGCTATTGTTGAGTGACAGATTTGATTTATCTTTTTATTGGGTTGGGTGATTAACATTTAACAATAACAGCTGCAAATCAACCAATCTATCATCTTCTGCAACTCTGTGAACCGGGTTGAGCTATTAGCTAAGAAAATAACGGAGCTGGGTTACTCCTGCTTCTATATTCATGCTAAAATGTTGCAAGATCACAGGAATCGGGTATTCCATGACTTCCGCAATGGTGCATGCAGGAACCTTGTTTGTACTGGTATGCTTATCATGATTTACTATAGTGATTAGTGAGTGACTTAGTTTATGGGAAAAGCACTAATAATAAATCAATTTAATTTACAGATTTATTTACAAGGGGGATAGATATTCAAGCAGTTAATGTTGTTATTAACTTCGATTTTCCCAGGAATGCTGAAACATATCTACACAGGGTGGGTACCTTCTGTTGTATTATAATACTTACAATAATACTCATCTATCTATCTATCTGCTTTTGAAGTGATTGATTATAATTGAATAATTTAATAATTTATAGGTGGGTCGTTCTGGAAGGTTTGGGCATCTTGGGTTGGCTGTGAATTTGATAACCTATGAAGACCGCTTTAACTTGTAAGTGTTCTGTGTTCTTACTCCTACTGTTATCTTAATGTAACATGAATGTATTACCAGATTTACCCCTATATTTATGGTGCAGGTATCGGATTGAGCAGGAGCTTGGAACTGAAATAAAACAAATTCCTCCACTAATTGATCAAGCCATTTATTGCCGTTGACCCATCATTATCAAACCTGCTTCATATCATGTTGCTTGGTGAGTAACATGATGCTTAAATTTTTTTTTTTCATCAAGTGATGTCTGGATAAATGATGTTTAAAAAATATTTTAAGAAAATGATGGTATACTTTGAGAAATGGAAGGAAACATAGTAACGGGTAAATTTGTAAAACACTTAGGACTTAATGAGGAAAACCCTTTTTACTATCTATTAAGTCCTTTCTCCATTAAAAAGAATTGCCCATATATAGGTGTTGTTTCTTTCTGACTAAATGGGGACAAAACTTAATCTGGACAGATATATATAGTTTGGTTTTCTTTTTGACTTGATATAAATAGATGGGGTTAAAGGAGAGAAAGGTGTCTTTATCTATTAACACCTCATTTTTTACCCTTTAACCAAACTTTTTTTGTAAAAAAAAAAAATCCGTTTAAACATATCATATATCTTGTTATTAAAATAAAACAAGCTATAAGGATTTAAACATATTTATGTAGTATGAAATAAAGATGAAACATGAAAGCAAAAAAATAGTTATTTATATTTGGTTGTGAGCTCTTTAAATCCATATATTAAGAAACTAATCCTCTGAGTTTGTGCATATTCCATTGTGGATGATTTTGGTTATTATCATATATTAATGTGAATTGTGAAAGTACAATGTTACCGCAACATATTGTTTTAACTTTTATCGTAGGCATTTATAATTTCAATTTATTACTGTTCGTAAATCAACAGTCAATTTTTATATATATATATATATATATATATATATATATATATATATATA